GATCTCAGCTCACCGCAACCTCTACCTCCCGGGTTCAAGCGATTCTCCTGCCTCAGCCTCCCGAGTAGCTGGGATTACAGGCGTGCATCACCACACCCGGCTAATTTTTGTATTTTTAGTAGAGATGGGGTTTCACCATGTTGGCCAGGATGGTCTCGATCTCCTGACCTGAGGTGATCCGCTGTCTGAGCTTTCCAAAGTGCTGGGATTACAGGCGTGCATCACCACACCCGGCTAATTTTTTGTATTTTTTAGTAAAGACGGGGTTTCTCCATGTTGGTCAGGCTGGTCTCAAACTCCCAACCTCAGGCGATCCACCGGTCTCTGCCTCCCAAAGTGCTGGGATTACAGGCATGAGCCACTGCGCCTAGGACCTTTGTTTTTAAAGTTAATTTATTGTTAGTTAATGTAATTTAATTCTTAATAATGGCTGTGTTTGACACTTGGCCCAGAGTTCCTGAAAATTTGGCAGTTCTCTTTTGCAGGCCACTGTGAGCTGGCTCCAGTACAGCACTGCTTGTAGTCTTCACCTGTTTCCAAAAACATTGTTTGGGGGCGGGTTTGGTGAGGAGGCTTAAAGAGCTATGAGAAAGGGAGGACCCAGCAGTGACTCCCTGGCTGGGGGTGGGGCTTTGCATTGGGCATCAGGGCCCTAATGCCCTGTTTACCCAGTGACCCGCCAGCCTGATCCTCACAGCCGAGGAGCATCCTGACCTATAGTACAGCATCAGTGTGAGCTTTTGTGTATTTGAAGATCTTCCTTGGCTCAGGCGCTTTCTGCAAGTCACTCGAACACTGCTTCATCCGACCACACCCGCTCCCAATTTAAAGAAGGTCCTTATAGTACACTGTTAGCCCTATAACTCTGGCCTTTTTCTTTTAAAACATTCTCCACTAGAGATGATTATCACTTGCATGTGAGTTTCCGCATTTCTGCCATCTCTCCTCTACTGGAAGCTCTGGGAGGGCCGTGTCAGTCTTATCCACCCCGAATACCCAGTTCCTGGTGGGCGATCAGCATATAGCAGACACTCAGTGAATATTTGTTGAAGGGGAAGGGCCTGAGAGAGTGGACAGAGAGACACAGGCAAGGGAGAGGGAGGAAACAAGGGGGAGGGAGAAAAAAAGCCAAAAGAGTTCATTTAACTTGAGTTTCTCTGTCCAAGAGGAATAAGCCATTGGGAATATACTGGATACCGTTTGATACTTCCAGCTGCAAAGGATTGAGCAGTGAGGAGCTCTCAGCTGCTAGTGGCAGAGACCTGATTTAAAATCAGGCTTGGCTGGGCATGATGGCTCATCCCTAGACTCCCAGCACTTTTCGGGGCTGAGGCAGGAGGATTACTTGAGCCCAGCAGTTTTTTGAGACCAGTCTGGGCAACACAGTGAGACCCCAACTCTACAAAAATATAAAAATAAAAGAATTAGCTGGTCATGATGGTGACACCTGTAGTCCTAGCTACTCAGGATGCTGAGGCAAGAGGATCCCTTGAGCCCAGGAGTTGGAGTTGGAGGTTGCAGTGAGCTCGGATTATGTCACTGCACTCCAGCCTGGGTGATGGAATGAGATCCTGTCTCAAAAAGAAAAGTAGAAAATCAGGCTTCAGGCTGGGCACTGGCTCACACTTGTAATCTTAGGACTTTGGGAGGCCGAGGTGGGTGGATCACCTGAGGTCAGGAGTTCGAGACCAGCCTGGCCAACATGGCAAAACCCTGTCTGTACTCAAAATACAAAAATTAGCCAGGCGTGGTGGCGGGCACCTGTAATCCCAGTTACTTGTTAGGCTGAGGCTGGAGAATTGCTTGAACCCAGGAGGTGGAATTTGCAATGAGCCAAGATCACGCCACTGCACTCCAGCCTGGGTGACAGAGTGAGACTGCTTCAAGAAAAACAAAGGAAAGAAAATCAGGCTTCAACAATAAGAGAAATATGTTACCTCGTGTAACAAGAAGCCCCAAAGTAGAGTGGCTGCAGGTTGGTGTAAACTCTGCCCTCAGGCCAGGGCCCCTATGGTTGCCAAAGAGCATCACCTGGATATAGTAATGTCCTTCAGAGAGAGCATCAGATGCTTTCTATGTGGCTCTTTTTAGGAGTAAGCCAGTCTTTCTCAGACGTCACATGCCCTGTCCTAATCCAAGTCCTTCAGGGCACTGGAATGACCAGAGGCTCTCAAAGTGTGGCTCCCCAGACCAGCACCATCAGCCTCACCTGAGAGCTTGTTAGAAACTGTGGAAGGAGTGGGGAGTAATCTTTGAGGGATAAACACTTAAACTCACCTGGGGCTCTCCTAAGAGGGAGTGGGGATGCTGATGGGGCATTGATGGGGTTGAACTCGTGCTTCAATGACTCGTGCTTAGATAAGAGATTTGCATCCACTGCCTTTAACCAGGGCTATGAAGTGGGCAGAGCTCAGAGTCCTGTAATGTGAAGCGGAGGTGCCCAGGCAGGCTGATGGCCGGCTACGTGCTTGGCCCTCCCCACCTTTGCTTCTCTCCTTCCCGCCAGCTACCAGAGATTCACTGACTGCTATAAGCGCTTCTACCAGTTGCAGCCTGACGTCACACAGCGAATCTATGACAAGTTTATAGCTCAGTTGCAGACTTCTATCCGGGTGAGTGGCAGGAAGCCCGGCAGGTGCTGTTGACTTGGGTTCTATCTCCAGATTGTCAGTCCGCTGAGGGCAGCGGCCCCACCCTCTACCCCTCTGTCTCCTCAGCCCCCTAGAGCTGTCCTGGGTGCCCGGCAGGCTGCAGCATCCATCATCTCTCCCTTCCAAATGATGCGGGTATCTTAGATGTAGCCTTTGCTCACTGTCCTGTAATGTAATTACATGTTTTATGTTGCCTGCCCTCTAGACCATGCCAACTCAGCAAGGGCTGATGGGGTCTTTTTTTTTTTTTTAAGTCAAGATCTTGCTCTGTCACCCAGGCTTGAGTATAGTGGCATAATCACAGCTCCCTGCAGCCTCAAACTCTGGGCTCAAGCAATCCTCCCACCTTGGCTTCCCAAAGTGCTGGGATTACATGAACTACCAGCCTACAGACTCTTTTTAAATATTTCCCACTTCAGGCCGGTATAGTGGCCCAAAATTTTAATTTTTTTCTTTCTTTTTGAGACAGGGTCTAGCTCTGTCACTCAGGCTGGAGTGCAGTGACATGATCTCGGCTCACTGCAGCCTCTGCCTCCCAGGCTCAAACAATCCTCCTACTTCAGATTGAGTCACTGGGACTGCAGATGTGCACCACCACACCTAGCTAA